GCGACACAATGAAATTGGATTAAGCCGGCGCTGCCGAGACTCGCGCGTCCTCCCTCCTTGCAGTTTTAACGACCCACCGGCGTACAAATTGTCGAGATGGTATCGGGACGCGGTCCCCGCGGGAGCCATCGGGATGGAGAGAGAAAGAGAGAGAGAGAGAGAGAACGGAGGCTGGCGCGAGCAGATAGCGGCGCAGATAAAGGCGGAGAGACGAGGACAGGGCGAGCTGGAGGGACAAGGAGAGGCTGCAGGAGATGCGAGGGAAGATTAGGGCGGCATCTCCCCACGGGGAGGTAACACGGAACGACTCTCTGGGCTGATCTCGATGCCACTGTTGCCTTCTCCACTCTCTCTCTCTCTCTCTCTCTTTCTCTCGTCTCATTGCATTCGTCGCCCTCGGCCAGACGCCGCGCCCCCCTCGATCCGTACGTTAAGGATTCTCAACAGTAAATTACAAAATATGCTAAGCGGCCGATATAAATCAAAAGTTGGCAAGGGTACAGCGCGGAGGGGCGCGGGATAAGGAGCGGAGGATAGAAAGTGGGGCCCGTCTCAGGCTCTCGATCGCGCGCACAGGGTACAGGGGCGCTCTCGATCCGCTACCAGCCAGACCCAAAATAGAGGAGGGAGCCCCGTGTCGCGCAGAGGCCAGAGACGCTCTCTCACGGCTGTGCAGTTTGCAAACCGAGCAAATGGACCGGAAGGCCTCGTTGCCAGTCGATATAAATATAGGCTGTCGGCTTTCTCTAACCCCGGATCGGTTATGAAATTCGAATTAGCGATTTGTCCATGCGTGACACCCGTGTGGGGTGTACTGCGAGAGAGTGGCTCTCGCGAGGAATCCCGCAGGAGATTTATGGCGATCGTCACGGCAGTCGATCTCCCGGCGTTCCACGGCCCGAATCCGCCATCCCTGTCCGCTATTTCTCTCCGCCATTTCCGTTCGCGATTTTCATCCGAGATTTCGATCCGCGATTTCTATCCGAGATCCCTGTCCGCGATTTTCGTCCGAGATTATCCGATCGATACGGTCCAGCGACTCCTCGCGTCGATCTTTGCCTGGCTGCCACCGTTCGCGGTGATCACCCTCCGGGGAGAACAGGATCGCGATCCTGGACAGTGAAAAACGCGTTGTCCATTCGGTAGCGATTCGTTAACCGCTTGTTTTTAGTCCATTTTTCATTTTTCTTCGCGGAATTTTCTTCTTATAGTCGTTTTCGCTTCGCAATACGAGGATCGAGGGATCGAGACGCTTATCGTCATTCCTATCGATCCGTCCATTTTGAAAGACAGGATTATAGATGATTCGACAAAGTTGCTTTTAAATCAGGAATATTTCCTACGATTTGCATAGAAATCTCTAAGACACACGTCAGGGACCGCTCGTTTTGGCAAGACAGTGTCAAAACGTATACGATCCATAATAAATGGTACGTATATGAAATGAGAAAACTCGGGAGCGGTATACAATCAGTCAAACACGTTCCACTGTTCGTTCAAGCAACCGTGAAATATTATTTAGGAACATGAACGAAATTTATCCACCGATTATTTCTTTCATTTCCAGGCCCCTGTCAAAAATAGGCCTAGCTTTCTCGTCCTTTTTCCTGTTTTTACCGATTCCTCTCTGTGTCTAGACTTCATCACGGTCATCGAAATATCTGTTACAGAGGATAAACTGTAAATTTCGTTCTCCGTCCTTAATAAAGGTCGAGTAGAGAGGGCAATTATTCTCGAGAAGAAAACTGCGCGGTTGATCTGGCAAATGGCAGCGCCCCGAAGAAAGAGAAGCGGTTTCTAACTGTCCAACGCGTAACTTCCTTCGAGCTTTCAATTCCTCCCAAGTACACCTTGCGAATATCGCGTCTCGACGCGATAAATTGCGCGTAATAGCGCGATAAACCTCCGCGATAAATCCATTTCTCTTACGGAGAAAATCTATCTGCCGGCACGTTGACAGGGACGTCGTCGTCTGTCGTTAATCTCGATCCCGGGCGCGAAGAGGGGAAAGGGGGAGAGGGGAGGAAATGAAAATTCCTGCGGGTCGAAAAAGAGGCGATCTGGGATCTGCTCGATCCACCGCGATTTACATTTTCGCGAGAGGCCTCTCTGCTCCCAGCTCGCGATTGTTCCACATACTCCGCAGTCGCGATAAATTATGCTACCCGCGAGCACTCAATTATACACGCGAGACTATTAATCGAGATACGGGGAAACGTGGATGTTAATAAAGCGTCGTGCCGCGCTGAAAGTGTTTTCAACGACGTTTACACGCCGGCTATCAGCCGATCTACGCTAATCGACCTCTCTTCCGAACGTCACGCACGCCTTCACCGATCCACCAACCCTTTGACCCGCGCTCTACACGGTCTAGAAACCTATCGCCGTGTTCCAACACTGATCCCGGTTTCGCTTCGACGCGTGTCCAGTGTCTGGGAAGGTTTAAACGATCGCTGCGAAAGGGATGCTTCGAGTCCACCTCCTCTAATGCTAGATAGTGTCAATCACGGTGTAGGAGAACTCGCATCTTCCTCGTGGTAGCCGTAAACGAGGCACGGGAATATTCCTATCTTCCCTACGTTGTAATTTCGATCGGTTTCAATCGCGTGTACCGTGGCCATATACGCGGAGGGAGAATCCTGATCCTATACTACCGTGTAATATAGGACTTTGATTCCTCGTCGAGTGTGACAGAATGTATTAACAAAGTACCGAAGGGATCATGGTTGAAAGTGGTTTAATAAAGTGCTGAAGCAGAGCTGCTACTAGTAAATCTCTGACTAGACTTTATTCTGAGATTTGTTGACTCATGAACTCCTGACATTCGATTGTGCAATTGACAACTATGGAACTATAACTGACAACTCGGTAACTCTCGGCAACAGAAGTGTCTGATAACTCTGCGACTATGACTGTAACTGTCTAACTGTGGAACTATAACTTTAGTAAGTTATGACAACTGATAATTGACAACTTTGGAACTATAACTGACAATTCGGTAACTCTTCCAGAAGTGTCTGATAACTCTGCGACTATGACTGTAACTGTCTAACTGTGGAACTATAACTTTAGTAAGTTATGACAACTGATAATTGACAACTGTGGAATTATAACTGACAACTCGGTAACTCTTCCAGAAGTGTCTGACAACTATGGAACTATAACTAGCAACTCGGTAACTCTTCCAGAAGTGTCTGATAACTCTGCGACTATGACTGTAATCATCTAACTGTGGAACTATAACTTTAGTAAGTTATGACAACTAACAATTGACAGCTAACTGCCTACTCTGTGTCATGTTTCTCATCGCTATATTCACTTCTCAACTGTTCTACAACGACTATTTCCTAAAAATATCCCACAGTACAATATAAGAAAATATCACTCGAATCCTTCATCAGTCAGCTGCCAGTAGTGACTGACACGTGCTTCGTGTTTGACCAGTATACACGTCATCGTTTACTTCCTGTACATTGTACACATTTTGGATCCAAACTCTCAAAGTGTTTGCAATTAGAGGACCCCAAAACTTCGGTGTTCAACTTCTTGCCAACGTGGATAACCCTCCTTTGACATTTATCTGAACGTATCCAAACTGTCAAAGTAATTTCAATAGTTGAGCGATTAGACGGACCCAAAACTTCCATGTTCAACTTCGTGTCAACGCTTGCGAGTCTTCATACACATTTACCCGACCGTAATTAGTATCATGAGAAGATAGGCGCGGGATACGACGGATGGGGTAAATGAAATTCGTTTTTTCGCGAGGACAATCAGGCGCCGCACGAAAACGCAAGAAAGGCCGGAGCGTTGCGATACTCGGGCGCGAACGGTGTAACAGAACTCCAAAAATGATGACAAACGACGCCGGGAAAAAGAACGGCGGGCTTCAGTGGCGGATTTAATCGCGAGGCACACGGACGCTGGCAACATCCATCCTCGGGAGACATTTCGATCAACGTCGGTCATCTGGCGCGCGGTAAAAAGCATCGCGACGAAGAGGTCGCGGAATAATTCACAAAAACGCGTGTTAAGGAAGCAAAAAAGCTCGGTCGAAGTTTCTCGACCACCGGGGACGTGGTCGCTGGCATCGCGGCGGAGCGAAGAAGGCGGCGAGATGACAGCGCTATGGAGATTTCTGCGTGGTTCAGCCGCGGCAACCGCGCGCATACGATCTTTCCACGCGCGTGAATCACGGGAAGGCGTTGCGGGATAACTGTGGAAAGCGGGGATTTTTCTCGTGGCCGGGGCTTAACACGCGGATACTAATATGCCACGGGTTCAACAGCGAGGCACGACGCGTCATTCTGCATTAGCAATGCAATCGCGCGATAATGTATAGCTCCAATGGCCGCTGCTATCCCGGAGCGAATGCGTCTCGCCATTTTTTCCCGCCTCGAAACAGGGAATCTCGAGTTCGGTAATTGCTTCTCGCGATAGGCCACGGAACATCGGGAGCGAAGAGTCGAGCAGAACTCTGCCAACTGTCATCCCTCTGCGGGCTCGCGTTATCGAAAAGTGCAAAAAGAAATGGATCACTCGATCGCAGTGTAGGACACTTGTGCCTGTTCAATCAGCAGGGTGTGGTTGGAATGATTTATCATCGGTGTGAATATGTAGGAGACGCTTAACATCTCGGTTATTCAAACACGTGTCACTTTTCCATTATAAAACCGATCCGTTTTGAACAATGACAGGGGCGTGTGGACGCGAGAAGAATGGTCCGCGATTGGACTAGATTGCTCGTTGCATCCTTAGTTTCTCGGCAATGAAAACTGCTCAGAAGCGGAACTGAAATCCGTCGTGCAGAGATTTATATCCCACGATAGATAGGATCGAACGGAGAACAATACCCGGCGTATCCGATCAGGCATTCAGTCCGATACGTCTCACCCGTGCCTAGGGGTTAATCGAGCTATTCCGTGGATTACGCGACCATCGTTCGGCTCAGTTCATCGGAAACGTCGAAATCGCGGTTAAACAAACGAATTGCAACTCACGTGGGCCAGAGCTCGTGAGTGGGTGGCAGTTTGACATCCGCGGCGCTCTTCTCGGGCAGCTTGTAGTACTCGTAGACGTAGGAAGCGGCCGGGTCGTCGCCATGGCTAGCGACGGCCGAGACCTGGTGCTGCTGCTGCAGATTCAGCATCGCCGCGGTCGCTACCGAGAGCGGATGCTCGCAGTAGGTCCGCCAGTCGCCCTCCATACCCTGCACCTGCACCTGCACGGCAGCAACCCTCTTGTGTACCTCTGGATCGGCGCCCTCGGCGCCGCTCTGCAGAGACTGCGCCGCCTGCGCCGCCGCCTCTTCCGCCCCCAGCTCTTCCTCTTCCTCTGTCTCGCGCTGTCCGGAGACGTAGCCTGACTGCTGCTGCTGAGAATTCTCCTCCACACCGCCGCTCGTGTCCTCCTCGCCGCGACTTCGTCGTCTGTGAATACACAAATTGGTTCGTTTCGTTAGAATCCAGTAGGACGTGATTTTGTTAGACGCGAATGGGGGATCAGGGAAGGTTAGAACAGGTGTAGTAGTCGGCATATGGCTATTGAATCGTATGACGCGAATCTTTTGACACTTTGACTGTCACTATGGTCACATATGATCGGTCACAGTCTCTCCCATGACACCATGATGATCATTGGTGACTGGACCACTTGAACTACTTACAATTGCAAAAATTGAGTGAAAATTGACAGTTTGTTGATTGTCAACCGTTACCAAAGCGCCACCAGTGATCACTCGCCAATAAGAATGTTGTTTTCTATCACCATTTTAGTATTATTTAGCCATTATATGCTTTGAATAATAAAAATATTCCTGTGGTTCCCTGAGTGAAACATGTGACTTCAGCGTGGCAATCAGAGGGTTAATATTCCACTTTAATTATAACTTTCGACTTAAACCGCGTTGCTATAACAGTTGACCTACAGTATAATCTAGGAAAAGATCGATTTAAGTTAATCAATCTTGACAGGTGTCTAATGGAATAGGAGTCCAGCTGTAAAAAGGTTTGAGAGCCACTGGTTCGAGTAAGCGAGTAGAACTCGAGCGAGAACTCTTTCGATCCAGTCTCCACGTGATTCTATAAATCCACGATCGTTTGTCCACGATCCGATCATCGGAATCTAGCCATCTACGCGAATACCTTTCCCTGGAGCCGGCTCGACCAATCGTTTCCGCGTGTTCAAAAACGGCTGACGGAGTAGACAGTAGCCTAGGAGCAAGGCTAATCCGTGAGGAGGACCGACAACGCGATCCTGCGCGGATTTCCTGGAAGATCGGCCGCGGTGTAACCTGTTAGAAACGAGACGCGGCGATAAATTGCCGCTGGTCCGTCGAATTTATCAATTAACGATAATCGCGTTAAGCTCTGCTGATGATTCCTCAATTTAGCAATGACCACCGTGGACGCGCGTACCCTCGCGCCACACACGCTCGCCGCCGTGATAATTTATCGCCCACCGTGACGCGATATCTAATCGCCTCTTAGGAGGTTGCGCGCGGGCAAGCTCGGCCAACCGGCTGGGTATTTGTCACCGTGCTCGTTGCTTTCCGGCCGAGTCCTGCCTTCCGGCTGGCTCGCGATGCCAATTAACCAGCTTTAACAAACCTAGCCATCCGCGCGAACTATGGTTACTGTCAATTTCAACGCCCACAGTCGAGGCCAAATGCGGGTTCTTTCGAATGAGGGAAGATCGGTGTCAAAGTTGCTTCCAGTTTGCCTCGATTGGCACGTTTGAGATTCATGAGGATAGGCACTGGTAGTGGTGGACATAGTCATAAACGGTAGGCAGAAGTGCCTAGAGTCTGGTGAAAATAGGGAGCTTATGCTCCCTGTTACGTTAGAGCACTGATGACTATGTTCGTGTCAAAATATTTCTCGTTACATATTACATAATCTTGTGAAAAAGAGATAGTGGAAGTATACATATACAATTTTAGGGTTTCAGAAAGTTCTAAATTCTTAGGCTCCTCAAAGGCTAAATTCGTGTCAGTGTATGCTAGTGTATTTATAAAGCACCAATGTGTCATGAACTGACCAACTCTTGGATCCGTGTCACTGGGCACTACTGTGCATGTAAAACAACGCTTATACTATACGTTATAGTACCGATGACTGTGCACGTGTAAAAATATTTCTCGTTAAGTATTGCTTAATCTCGTGGAAAAGAAAGAAGTATACATATGCACCTTTTGGGTCTTGGATAGTTCTAGCTTCTCAGGCTCCTCGAATGCTAAATTCGTGTCAGTGTATGATAGTGTATCTATAAAACACCAAACTGTCACGAATTGACCAACTCTTGGACCCGTTTCTAGCTCCTCGGGCTAGCCTCGAAGGCTAACTCTGTCACTATGCACTACTGTGCACGTAAGACAGCAAATTGCTATAAAAATTTATGAAACAAACCAAATCCTGGAGCCATCTAGCCTCGTCAGCTGGACGAAGAAAGGAGTACGTGGCAGCGTATGCGCGCAGATGCCTCTAACTCCGAAGGAAGAGCCTCGATCATGGCTGCTCGAGGAGGAAGGGTGAGAAGTAGGGGGCCTGGGTGTATATATGCATACACGCACGAAGATTAATTATTATAAACCCCTGCCTTTTGCCTACAGTCATCAATTTATACTCCTCTCCGGATCCCAATTCCAAACCCAATCCCGAACCCGTGAGTCGCGCACGGAATAAAGGCTCATCCTCTCTAATTTATGCATGTCGAATCAATCTCCCTCTTCCCTTTCTCTCCCCCCGCCGTCGCCCCTCTGTTCCTTTTCTTCCTCTCGTTTCCACCACTTCGATCTTTCCTTCGTGGCACCGTGCGGCGTTCCAGGTCGCGTTCCGATCGCTCCTGGTTCCCGCACCTGGGCCACCAGGCTCGCCCCTTCGGACCAGCCACCCCGATAATGAGGGCCCGCGTTATCCTGTGCAAATATTTTCCTCGACGACTGTTTGCACAGGCGCGGCCTGCATCGGCCGCGAATACGCGAGATTCCACGGCTGGCAGCCCCAACGTGAATTAATGCCCCGTAGTCGGGGTAATCAGTTCATTCGTGATCATCAAAGTGGAGACTTCTCGCTCGGGTATGGGTAAACAGAGCTTGCGAGAGTTGGCCCAGGGTTTCAATGACCGATCTTTGCTCTAAGGGTATTTTTCGTGAAGTTACCAGGACGTGGTGCACTTTCGTGGCAGATTCGAGGAGTTCGGAGGAACCGTTGCTAGCATTTTAGAGATTGGAATTAGGTGTTTTCGTCTGGGTTCGAACGTTGACAGAGTCTAGGTCGGCTATTGTTCGTGCACTCGTGCAATTCGTTATTAAGTATTGAAATTAGGTGTTTTCATCTGTGTTTTAACGCTGACATCGTATTAGAGCAGTTTTGGCAGAGTCTAGGTCGGCTACTGCTCGTGCACTCGTGCAGTTCGTTATTAAGTATTGAGATTAGATGTTTTCATCTGTGTTCGAACGTTGACATCGTATTAGGCAGCTTTGGCAGAGTCTAGGTCGGCTATTGTTCGTGCACTGTATTGGAATTAGGTATTTTCATCCGTGTTCGAGAGTTGACATCGTATTAGGCAGTTTTGACACATTCTAGGTCGATTATTGTTCGTGCACTCGTGCAATTCGTTATTACATATTGGGATTAAGTATTTTCATTTGTGTTCCAACGTTGACATCGTATTGGAGCAGTTTTGACAGAATCTAGGTCGGCTACTGTCGTGCACTCGTACAATTCGTCATTACGTGTACCCATTACGTGTTTAGACGTACATAAACGTCGAATTAACGTACCAAGATCGTACATGGACTCCTTTCTCACAGTTTCAACCTTCTCTGAGAATATTCCAGAATAAGCAGGGCAAAAAGCGACATCACAATTAGATAACGTGTATAGAAAGAAGCTAAAGTAAATTCTCTATGCGTAATGGCTTCGAATATCGAAAGTGTCATGAGACCTGCGCGAGGTATGCTCATTTTTATATACCCCTCGAAGGATGCTAAAAATATCGCAATTCTGGTTTCACGCGTTTGCTATTATAGCGATTAAAAATATCTAATTGGCTTTGACATAGTCAACGTTGATTCTCGTCGCAATAGGAACGCGATTAAACGTGCTTATTCGTTATTATTATCTATATATACTATATTTAGTATACGCATTAGCATACCGTGTTACGAGTTACCCGCAGACAGATAACACGGATGAAGTATACACGGACAGGTAACTACAGGTCGCCAGAGTTAAATTAATGTAATAACACCGGACACGGACCCTTCCATAAAGAATACTCGTTTCTGCATAATCTCAAACAGAATATCGCGGTTGGAATAAGTTTTTCAGCCAACTGTGCAACAAAGATCAGCGTCGGACTGTTCGCGTCCTATAGAAGACAGATCGTAGCACGACTCGCAAAAAGCAAGTGATCCTTCGTTAATCAGGGACCGGTACTCCCTCCGTCTCTCTCTCTCTCTCTTTCGCTCGCTTTGAATTTATTTCCAAGCGGATCGATCGATCCGCGAGCGTCATTCGTCTCGGGTGATCGTTCTCGGGTAGCAGCGGAGAAGAAACGTTTGAATGGAAAGGAGGCATCGCGATCGTCAGAATGCATTATCGTGTTTGTTGCATCCTCGTTCCCGTGCCTCGACATACACACCTACCTCAACGCGCAAATATCGCAGGTAGGTGGAACGCATCGCGACGAGATAAAGAGGGACAAGCCGCGGAGAAACACGTTTAATATTCCGTGGGAGTGTTGTCCACGCGACCCGGCAACCCACCCTGTTGCTCCCTCGCGTGCATTTCAATAAACCCGCCTCCGCCCGGGATACACGCTCCGTCCAACTGGACGTCCAGTTCGCCAGCCAGCAGCTGTTCTCCCTGCATACACGTCCTCCTTTCTTCTCCTGCTTTTCCCAGACTTTCGGTTAAGAAGCTATCGCCTCGACATTCTTTCGTTTTAGCGAAGTTTCCATTCAGAGTCATGGAGAAGAACTTTCTTGGACAGAATGTCTTCTGAATTTTGACAGAGGACTGCGTCCGAGTAGCTGTGAAATGGAGGATTATGAGCGCACCTTGCTAAGTTTAGAGAAAAATTTGCTACACGTGGAATAAGTATCGCGTGTTCTCCTATTTGCCTATGAGCGTTTGGTTCCAGAGCTATGCAGGGCTTTTCTGAATAGAATGTCTCGCAAATTTTGACAGAAGATTGCTACGGAGTAGGTGTCCTCATAGAGGATTATGGGCAAACCTTGCCAAGCTTTGAGGAAAATTTACGACACGTGGAATAAGTATCGCGTGTTCTCCCATTTGTCTATGAGCGTTTGGTTCTAGAGCTATGCAGGGCTTTTCTGGATAGAATGTCTCGCGAATTTTGACAGAGAACTGCGTCGGACTAGGGTCGAATTGGAGGACTATAGGTAAAGCTTGTTAAG